TTATATTTCAGGCGCTGATCGTGTATTTAATACACCATTATGTGAACAAGGTATAATTGGTTTTGGAATAGGTGCAGCTGTTGCTGGAACAACAGCGATTGCTGAAATTCAATTTGCTGATTATATCTTTCCAGCATATGATCAAGTAATAAACAAATCATAAATTTATTTGATATTATATTTATTTGTTTATTTCTTTTTAATATTTAGATTGTAAATGAAGCAGCTAAATATCGATATCGTTCACAGAATTTATTTAATTGTGGTCGTCTTACTATTCGTTCACCATGGGGTGCTGTTGGACATGGTGCACTCTATCATTCACAATCACCTGAAGCACAATTTATGCATACACCTGGCATTAAAGTGAGGATTTCTATTTTATTTTTTATGATTAAGATATATATATATATACAGAATAGTTAGATATAAGCAAGATAGTCATGCAAAACTTACCTTAAATGTCATATTCTTATGACTCATGTGTTCTAAAAGTTAATGCCAAAACTATAGATTAACATTTACGTCAATATTTATTATTATGATTTTGATAGTGAAATTAATCTTTTTTTTTTTCGTAAACAACTAAGGTGTAGAACACATAATCATGCAAAAATAGATGAAGCATAAGTTAACTAAAAATAAAATAAAATCGCTAAAAAAGAAAGATATTAGATGTCATATGGATCGTGCAAGATGTCTCGAGCTTGTTAACATTGCTAGAAAATCATATCACGTTGCAAGCTAGTGCATGTATTACTAAGTATGAAACCAGAACTAAAAATGTTTCTGACTGAGATCAAAAACAATTCGTCCCGCTAATTACTAAAGATAGTAGTAGTTCCTAAGAACAACATTTATAAATATTGCTTTGAAATATCATCATAGGCTTTAACAATCAAATTTTACTTTTATAGTGTTGAGAATAATTCTGTAACGAATATATTTCATTGTGAAATGTTACTGATATAGATATCTGTTTTGTCTTAAGTACAATGATGTGAAAACGAAAGTTAATTTGACTATTCTCATTGGTGCTTGATTTTATACAGATTTCGAAATTTTAGATTCATGTTATTACCTATGATGTCATTGAGTTTTGATGGAACCAAAAACTCGAGTGTTTGATCTATCATGAAACAATAATTAGTTCCATAGAGTGGAACAGAGTGGATATATTCTAATTTTCTACCGAAAAGCTGCTTATAGATCACTCTATACATATATATCTTCAATTTTATTTAGGTCGTTATTCCACGTAGTGCAATTCAAGCTAAAGGATTACTTTTATCATGTATTAAAGATGATAATCCATGCATATTTTTTGAACCGAAAATTCTCTATCGATCTGCTAAAGAAGATGTACCACTTAAAGAATATACTATACCATTATCTAAAGCAGAAGTGATATCCGAAGGTAGATTTGTTTTTTTTTTCAAACATCGTATAAATATTTAATTTGTTGTTGTCTTAATTATAAGGTTCTGATGTGACACTTGTTTCATGGGGAACACAAGTTCATGTTATGCGTGAAGTAGCACAAATGGCAGCTAAAGAAAATATATCTTGTGAAGTAATTGATTTACGAACAATTGTACCATGGGATGTTGATACAATATGTCAATCAGTTAGTAAAACAGGTAGATTACTTATAAGTCATGAAGCACCAATAACTGGTGGTGTTGGTGGTGAAATTGCTGCTACTGTTTCTGTATGTATTTTAATTGTATTTTATTCAAATGTGAATATGAAATATTTTTATTATTTTAGAAAGAATGTTTCTTAAATCTTGAAGCACCCATAGAACGTGTTTGTGGTTATGATATTCATCCAATTCCACATGTTTTTGAACCATTCTATTTTCCATCTAAATGGCGTTGTTTAGAAGCTATCAAGCGTATGCTAAATTTTTGAACCATATAAAAAAGAAAAGTTTTCTTATTTTCTTATTTTATTGCATAAACAAGAAAAATACACACAAATAAGCATTTAGTTTTATGTTTTTATGATTATAAGTGTATATTTTTCTAACCATAAAAAATAAATTGATCTATTATAGTTTTATTTTAAATTAGATTTTTATTTGTTTATTTTTTCAGATTAAGTCGATTATTATCTAATTATTCAATTATCAAATATTTTATGTAATTCTTCGAAATCTATGTATAGGTATAATGAATTTTTGTTAAATGTCTTTATTGAAAAGAAGATTTTATCTAGGGTTGATCCAACCAGGAAGGAAAAGGGATCTGATACCCTCCAATCAAGAAAAGTTTTTATGTTCTCTAAAGAAAAGCTAAGAATTTTTCGTGCGTTCTCTCAGATAAAACATGTTGACAACCTCGAAAAAAATTGCGATGTTTCCTCGCGCATCAATGATGACTGTCGCTTCAGGCTAACTCTAACCTTATCTAATATTATTAGTTTTTTATTTTCTATATAAATTTCATATATTGTGTAGAATAATAATAAAAATATTTATGAATAGATAGTCACTACTATCAGATATTGATTGTTTCTATAGCTTTATTAAGAATATATTTCTCAACGTTTTTTTTTTAAATGTATTAAACTGAAATACAAATATTAAAACTTTTTGAAATAGAATCTGTATCTTATCTACTATGTGCTCCAGATGCTTTCATTAAAAACTTCTCTTTGCTAAAATACATTATCATGCATAGTTGTGCATATCAACAAACATAGATAACTTTTTATTTACAAGACATTTTCAATCTCTGTATAAAAATGTCATTGGGAAAAAAGATCTTTTTAAAATTTCACAATTTCATAAATACATATTTATAAAACGAAATATAACGTCGAAGAACTATTTACAATAGGGAATATTCCCTCGTTAGTTATTCAATGACATTTTAAACAGTAAATATTAGTGAATGAGTATGTAAGTCTCGTTTATCTCATATTTCTTTCGAAAAAAAAAGCATTTGATAAGGTTTTATCAGCAATAACTTCATTGAATCCTTCAATTATTTCACGATTTCAAGTAAGAATATGAATGAGAGACTAGTCATGTAACACAAGATATGTTATCTAAAATTTGTATAATAAAGTCTCGTTTTTTTTTTTTGTCATTGAAATGGAAATAATAATTATTATTTCAAATATTATTCAAAATGTGATATATTTGTGTCTTATTATCAATGCAATTTGTTTTCTTTTTTGTGTTCTTCTCATTTGTCTAGTAATCGAAAAATCTTATCCGCTCTTTTGTTGTTTATATGTTCTCATGCAGACAACAAAAAAAAAAAGAAGAAGAGGATGTTCCCCTCCTACTATTTTTCATCTAATTTTCTTTCTGTTTTCTTTTTCATCATTCTTTTTCTATTCATTCATGTTAGTTTTTTGTTTCATCTAAATGATGATAATGTGCAGTTTTTTTCTGTTGTCGATAATCTTATATGTCGATTACTTTCCTTTTTTTTTTCTATAATCATAACAACAAAATCCAAAATAACAATGATGCATCAATTAAGAGTGGTTTCATTATGTAACGGAATTCTCAATCATATACCTTTAAGTATATTATTCTATGAGTTGTATCTGAAAACCAAATAAACTTGAAGAAGCCTAGTATTATAAATAGTGTCCATCAAGTATACGTCTAATTGCTTTAGTGAACATTTCTTTCTTTTTCAATCGGCTCCCTTTCCTCATGACCCGATATAAAAAGGTGTTCTTTCTCTCTCTCTTACTCGCATTGATTGGAATAAAAAAGTAACAATTTCTCTTTGTCTTGCTTCTCTTTCTTTCTATTCAAATAGATTTTCTCCATTAAATCAGCGAGATAGACATTTTTTTTATTTCATCTCTCTTTCTCTTTCTTGGTACCAGCCATTTACCGATATGTGCATATACATATATATATGTGCATGTTTTTTTTCTTCTCTTGTGTAACACACAAGAACTACTCATTGAATTTTTCTCTTATTGATATTATTTTTTTAATTTCTTTTCTTTCATACTGTGTAAAACACGCAGTCAATGATAGAAGCCAGTCAAGATGAGAGCGAGAATAAAATTACTATCTGTTGGTCATTGAACACGCAATATATATCCACCCTGTAATTCTCTTTTTCCGTTTCGTGCTTTTACTTTCATCATTCTCTTTTCCTATGTCGATGAAGTTAAAACCCGATTATGATACTTGGTGAGATTAGCTTCATTCATTCATTTGTTTTGTTATATTTCTTTTTTTATGTGATAAATAATAAAAAAAAAATGGATAATGCCCTCCTGCCTACTACATATATACATACATATGCATAGATGCAAGATTTTCGTTTGTGCAAGAATGAGAATACATTGGAATGGTATCATCATCAACATCATTAGTCCTAGTAGATAGAGAAAAAAAAGCATTGAGAAACATATAAAAGGAAAAAAAACCTACGAATAAACACAAGGCAAAGTAAAACGATAACTTATAATAATGTATTAGATTCGGAATGTGTCTCGTTCTCGTTATTTTTTCATTCTTTTACTTTTTCTTTTTCTTTTATTTTCTACTATTACTTCTATACTCTGCTTTTTTGCGTCATTATTACGCATATTATTAGCTACCACAAGTAGTCCACGTGCTATCACAGTATTGTTCTATTCATTTTTCAAAATTAAACAAAAAAAGAAGAATCTCCCTTTATTTTTTTAACATTTCGTTTTTTTTTGTTTGTAATTGTTCATTTCACATCTTGTTAAGTATTAGTTAAAAAGTTAATTTGATCAATTTATTGTATGATTGAATATGAGTAAGACAAGACAGCAAGTCGCAAACTATTAAAATCAACTTCATCGTTCTTTCCTTTTTTTTTATGCCATAATCTAACATTATCCCGGAGGACTATGTTAAAGAAAGTACTTAGTCACTTTCTTTGAAAGTATATTCTATTTAATCCGGTTCTTTTTTTATTCTTTTTTCTTTAGCCACTTCGTCACACATATGTGAATGAATGGTTGCAACTGAATAAATAATTGACGAAATGGAACATCAACATTATCAAACTGTTAATGAAAAGAACAATGTTGATGATAAAGAATTCGTCGTTAATTATGAAAATAATCTTGAACAATCAACTGGTGATACAATTGAAGAAGGTTTGAATCATATTATAAATTTATATATGACAAAAGAAAAAGAAATTTTCATTTTTTTTTAGATAATCATGAATTATCTAAAACACCAATTCCAGAAATAATTAATGATGAAAATGAAAATCTTGATACAAACGAATATTTAAAATCACAAGTAATAATCTATTGAAATAGATTCAAAATAAAAAACAAAAAAATAAATAGAAAAATCTAGAAAATTAGATATTGTTTTGTTACTATAAGATAGTAAATCAAATAAAGATATAATTTATATTTTGTGAAAATTTTACGGTTGGTTGTCAAAAAATTTCGCATTGGTATTTTTCTTTTTTGTTATTACTTGTGTTCATCAATTAGTGTCGATTCGATGAATATATTGGATGCATATACATGCGCATGTCTACACATCTGTCTATCTATCCTATCGTTTCCCTATTTCTATATTCATTGCTGCCTTATGTCCAGCTCTTTAAACTAATCTATTGTCCTTGCTATTGGCAGTATTATTAAAAAAAAAAGAAAGAAGAAAAACGAAGAATGTCATTCTCATTGACGAATGATAAGTAGAGAAAAATATTCTACTTCCGTTGTCTGTTTTGTTCCTCATTTAGTATTGAGATTGTTCAAAATATTGCTGATCTTCTATGTTAATCGCGTGTCATTCATTTTCCCCTCTTTCGTTGTCTTTTTTTCTTTTCTGTCTTTTTTGACGCCGCCATCGTATTGTGTTCATTGATGATGAGGACATGAACTTTTTTTTTTTTTTTTTTAGCATATAGATTGGCGAAAAAAGAATTCATCGTCTGATTGATCCATCTCGTAGTTGACGTTGTTTCTATCTCTTTCTTTGGCACTTGCTACTCGTTACTCGCATTCAAAGTTCTATTGCTTTCGATGTGTTTCACGAAGTTTTTCTTTTTTCTTCTCTTTTTCTTTCCCATCCTTTATATTGACAGATGGATAGGATAGTTTCCAAGCACAGAAGAAAGAGAAGGGAAGATACAGAAAGATAGAGAGAGAAAGAGAAAAGACGAAGAACAAGCCAGTGAGAAATAGAAAAGATAGGCATAAATGAGAAATGAGATTGATAGAGCGAACGAACTATATGTTTTGGCATTGAGACAGCAGTCTAGTATTACTTTCCATCCATTTTTTTTCCACTACAACGATAATAATACAAGCAGCGATATCTTGAGATTCTATGAGTCAATACAAATAAGATATGCCTTCGTTATCATCAACTAATCCTACTTCTACAACTACGACGGGGGCAAAACCTCGTCGAAAACATCATCATCATCATCGTCATACTCAACGTCATGTGAGTTTCTTTTTTTCTTCGTCTATTTCGATTCTTTAAACTAAGAAAGTATTTCTTACTAATAAAAAAAAAAGTCACTAACTTGCATGATTATTCAAATGAAATAATAAAAGAAAAACAATTGATCTATATGTAATTGAAAAATATGAATCGTTTTTGTCTGTCTTCTAGTTAAGAGTGAACACAACAAGTGTATATAGTCAACCCATCCTTCTAATTGCATGTGTTGATCGTTGTGTAGACGCGTCGACCCAAGAGTGTTCTCTCTCACTTCACCATCTATCCATCTATTGTTAAGACTAAACTATGCGACTTCTGTCTGTGTAATTCTCATAATTGCTTCATTGCTTTTGTTTGCTTTTTTTTTGACCAGACATGATTATAATTTTTGAGAAAAATGATAGACACATATATATGTTGAGGTAGAAGTTTATGTGGCATGAGGAACAGAACAAAATGTCATCAATGCTATTAACGATTCAAGGCTGTTAGGAGTTCGATAATAGTAAATGGGAAAAAAAATCCGATAAAAGAAGACTAAGAATATGTATTTACTTAAGGGTAAACACCTGCTTCCTCTCTTTATTATACAGGTTGATGAAAATGTTCCTCAACAACAATCGTCATCGTCTGTAATGGTTACAACTTCTGACGATAATAGATCATTATCGATGACAACATCAGCATTAACAACAACAACAACCACCACCAACACAACAACAAAAGCTGATGACAGAGCATCACCATTAAGTCATCATACTCTCCGTAAGATAGAAAACAATAGTTAGCAAATAAACTATCAGTTAACAGTTTTTTTTTTTTGTCATCATCATGATTATATAAGTACTCAAATATTACGATTATTCCAAATGTTAGATAACCTTAAGAAAAGAAAAAAAAACGATCATTCTAGTTTCTTTAAATATAAATATACTCATTAGTATTTCATTTTCCCAAGAGAGAACAATAAAAAAAAATAATTTGATTATCAATCTAATCATTAACATGCATCATTTGCCTTTTTTTTTCTTTTTTTTTCTTAATCTCAGGTGAAAATCAACATATATCTGATCGTTCATCTCCTGTCAATGGTCCCGGTCTAGCTAAGCCTATATCAATGACATCATCTTTAAAAGAACAATATGAACATCAACAAAATCGAACATTATCTACATCTAATCCTGTTGGAAAAAAACGTGTTGATGCTGCATTAGAAAAAAATATTGAAACAATAGTTACACAAGTTCGTCGTACAACAACAAAACCATCACAATTAACACAGAATGATCTACAATTATTTGATAGTACAACATCAACTAATAATATTAAAAATGGTCATCAATCACGTGAAACAACACCACTTACAACCAATACAATACATAAACAATCATCATCATCATCACGTGAAATGACACCTGATTCTATAAATACAGATTCAGCTAATGAAGATCAACAACAAACAATACGAAATGGACATAATTATCATCGTTCTATTCATCATCCATCATCGAATATTGATTTAACTTCACCATCTATTCCATCTTATGGACAACAACCATGGCCTCCTACTGTTTATCCATTTGCTCATCAACATCCTGGACTTTATTTACCTTATCTATCAACACCATCAGCAACAACATCAACACCAACCAATGGTTTGCCACCATTCTATCCTTCATATGATCCATTATTTATTGAACAACATTATGGTCCACAAGGATTATCTGCTTTTTATAATCATCAACAACAACAACAACAACAAGCTCGACTTTTACAAGAACATTCAACAGTGTCAGGTACGACAAATAATGCACCTTTATTTAGAGAATCACAATCATTAACTGATGTATTTAATAATTCAATAAATAATACAAAACTTTCAAATCGTATTAATCCACGTTTAAATAATTTAAATGAACAACAACAACAAATGATACTATCACATCTCTATCTTAATCAAATAACTTCACTTCCATTTGTAACATTATATGAAAACTCAGCATCATCACCATCACGTCAATTCCGAACTAATGGAGATAGTGGTGAGAATGTGATAATTAATCGTTCTCAATGTTGTTGTTTATATGTGTCTTGATAATTTCTATATGATTGTTTTTGTCTGTATTCATTCTTTCTTTTTCTTTATCTAAATTATTTAGATCATATCTCGTCAACCTTAACAACTCCAACAAAAGAACGTGGTGAACATTCACCTGTTGGTAGTGGTGAATCAATAAAATCATCAGATTCAATATCAATTGGACATAGAAATAAAAAATCAACATTACAAACATTTCAACATCATCATAATATAAATGGAAGTTTATCAAAATTATCACCAGATTTATCATCGGATGGTGCTGGTACAAATGATGCTGATAGTATTATTTCATTTGAAAGTCAAAAATCAAATACAACAGCAAGTATGCCTGTACTTGAAGATGGTTTATCAGATTCCGAAAATCTAAGTGGTGATGAACAATCAGCATCAATTAAATCAAAACCAAATGGTCGTCATCAATCTACACAAAGTGATTTTTTATATGATCAAAATCATTCATCATTAATCACATCATCACATAAACGACAATTTGCGAAATCAACAACAACAAATGGTCTTGAATCTCAAACAAAATCATTTTATATTCGTCCACCACCACCACCACCATCATCATCATCATCATCAACTACTGTTCAACCTGTAACAACAACTCGTTCAACAAATGAATCAAATTCGCAACAACAAAAAATTAATAATGATGAATCTTCGAGTGGTCAAACAGGTAAGAATGATGAGTCTTGTTTTTTTTTTTGTTTTTCGTTTTTTTTAATAACTAAAAGAAACAAATAAAACACCAAACTTTAGATGAAGGAAATGTTAACATAAAACCAAAACCAAAAAAGGGTTTGTTGTCGCATGTTATTTTTAATTATTATTTTTCCCCATTTTTGCTTTAATTTTGTCGTTAGAAACAAGCATGATTTGATTTCATTTTTTTTTGATCATTTAATATTTTTTTGAAGAAATAATAATAAAATTATATTTATTTAGATTATGATACTGATGAAGAAACAGATAAATTACTTGGTGTTGAACATCGTATGCATGCTAAAAATCAAGCTATTCGTGATGCTGTATGTTTAAATATTGATAAAATAAATTACAAAACAAAAAGAAAAAAAAAAACTTATGTTGTTTCTTCTATCTAGGCTGTTTCAAGACCATCAAATAAACCTAAAACACAAGAAGGTAAATTTTTATTTTATTTTATTTAAATTAAAATCTTTTGTTTTTTCTCTATTTTACAAAAAAAAAATCTGATATTAAAATTTTATTTTTTTTTCTCTTTTGTAAGTAATCGAAAAATTTGTTATTGTTATTATTGATGTTGTTGTTATTGTTGTTTGTTAATGCATGTTGTCATTCAAATAAAAATATATTTCAAATAATAAATATTTAATAATAATGTATTTTTAGTTCTCACTCGAACCATTGTTGATCCAGAAAATTCTTCGGTACTTATTGAAGGCGTTTTATTTCGTTGTCGTTATCTTGGTTCAACACAATTACTTGCCGAAGGAAATCCAACTAAAGCATCACGTATGATGCAAGCACAAGAAGCTGTTGGACGTATAAAAGCACCACAAGGTGAAAGTCAACCATCAGTAGAAGTTGATTTATTTATATCAACTGAAAAAATTATGGTTTTAAATACTGATTTACAAGATATTCTAATGGATCATTCTCTAAGATCAATATCTTATATTGGTTAGTAAAGAAAATTACTTGTTTTTTTTTGTAATAAAATAGTCATAAAGGAAGAATATTTCTGTCATTCATCTACCTAGTGGCATATTCAATAGTCCGACATCTTCCTATGAGATCTTAATCCCACTTGTATTTTATTTCTATAAATATATATATATATATATATATGTATATTTATCTGCATTTCCTCTCCATAATAATGTAAGGAATATATATAGAGCATTAATATGGTGAAAAAACTTATAGATTATGAAGAAGACAGGAAAATCCATAAAACAAAGTTCAAGAGAGAACATCAGAAAGGAAGGCCATATCCATCACATATAAGTATGAGAGAAAGAGAAAACCCATGACATTTACATATATGGCAGAAAAGCAAAAAAATCTATGACATACGGATTAAGAACAAGATAAAAGAAAGAAAATTTAAATATATAGGTTTAATCATCTATATCGTAGGGAAACTCTTTTGATCTCATCTGCACAAGATACTTCGTCATAACTCTTCCTTACAATTATAAACAATTGTGATTCTAGACAGAGGATTATCTAACGAAGAGTTCTTGCGTTGTTCCAAAAACATTAATTAACCATAAGAGCAGGTACATCTCTTGATGCAGTTCGCATCCTATCAGATGTTTGTGACCCAAGACAAATAGCTTTTAGTAACTTGTTCAAGGTCATTGCATGGTTGCAAGTACTGAGATTTGTACCCAGTACTTTTTGAGTAGATCTTAAACAATGTAGTCACTCAATCATGACGATTCAATCATAAAGAATAGATTATACGTAGGAAAAACTGTCTTTTGATCACCAAAAAAAAGATACATTTGATTGCTAAACACATTAATATGAAACGAATGGTAGAAAGTTAGTGTTTATTAGTCTTAGATGGCACATATCTGGCAGATAATATTCTTATCTCAAAAGCTAACGGATCAGTAAGATAAAGTTAAACAATAATAATCTCATCTGATCAATATGACCCTATTAATTCAGAACATTTCTAAAGAAGGGTATGAATGTTAATTTTTTCTTCATCTGCCTACGTCGACACAATTTCTGTTTCTAGTATGTATGCTATTTAGTATCATTTTTTTTTCTGACTCATCTATTTTTGTAAAAGTATAGATATTATTTCTGACATTATTCGTTATTATATTCTAGATGTATGTTTTTTTGTGATAAAAGATATTCATAATCTTATATGTGGAGAAAGTGACTCTTCATGATCTCCAGCAGAGTTTCAGCGTTTTGTTTATTATTTTTTTTGTTCACTCCCTACCCCCCCCCCCTCCCCCCCCTCTGAGTCCTTGCAACATTTTATTGTTTTTTTACTCTTTTGGTATATATTTCTCTAAATCAATAGAACAGAGATATTTTTCATAATTAAATATAAATAAAATCTGAATTTCTTTTAAATAAATTTAGCTGATATTGGTGATCTTGTTGTATTAATGGCTAAACGACGTTATTTACAACATACTGATGATAATGTTAATGGAAATGATGATACAAATGAAACAAGTACACGTCGTGTTGTATCAATTAATCAAAAAATGATTTGTCATGTTTTTGAATCTGATGAAGTGAGTTGAAATAGAAAAAAATTCAAAACTAATCATTAAAAATATCTATTAAAAAAGGCTCAATCAATAGCTCATTCCATTGGACAAGCATTTCAAGTAGCATATGTTGAATTTTTAAAAGCCAATGGTATAGATGATCCAAGTTTTACACGTGATATTGATTATCAAGAAGTACTTAATCAACAAGAAATTGGTAATGAAGAATTAGATCGATTTTCAAAAAAAGAATGTCAAAAAGAAGTAAAAAAAAGAAAAGCCAAAGATTTATTTTCGTTTTCTTTTTCTATTTCTAAATTTTTTTTCTTTAGGTTATCGTTCCAAAATCGAAAAATGAACCACTTGGTGTTGTTATTGTTGAAAGTGGTTGGGGTTCAATGTTACCAACAGTTGTTATCGCAAATATGATGCCTAATGGACCAGCAGCAAGGTTTGTTGTAGAAAATAAAAAGAACTTTCTTTCATAATCAATATAAGTATATTAACTATAGAAGATAGAATTCATTGGAGAATAGTAGTGTCTTACAACGAATGTCTTCTAACTAATCAATTGCTTTTGATTTGTTTTGACGTCACATGTATTATATAGACCTAAATGACCTCTAAAATCCTGAAAAGAGTTGATACACTTAATTTATTGTTGCAATTTTACGACATTTTGTTAAATGAATGTCATGATAACAGTAAAACTGAATTTTGACTTGAAGCTCTGCATGGAGACACGCCTTAACAGAAATAGATTTTATGTGAATGTCACTGTTCTTATTCTAAGGGACAACAATGGTAATAATGTGTCTTTTACATCATTAGAACTAAACTAGTTGGTTTGATGTTCTTATTTTAGGATAGATGCAAATCAAAAGATCTTAAACTATCTTCGTTAAGACCTTTCTCTATGCAAAGTTTTAAGTTGAAAGTCGAAAATTAGTTTTTTTTTATCATGACATTCATTTAAAAATACCATGAAAGTATAATATCTTCGAAGCAATACGATAAGAATACAAACTCTTTTCAAGTTATTAATAGTTCATCTAAATCTACATAATGTATATATTCACGATTTACTAACTGGCAAACTTCTCTCATTAAATAGAAATGTAGATTATTATTTCAATATGTTTGTTTTATTGTTGATTAGATGTGGACATTTAAATATTGGTGATCAGATTATATCCATTAATGGAATTAGTTTAGTTGGTTTACCGTTATCTTCTTGTCAAACACAAATAAAAGTAATGAATTTATATTTTTATATTGAAAAAGAAAATAACATCAAACTTCATATTAATTTTATTTTAGAGTGTTAAACATCTTACAACTGTACGATTAGTCGTTGTTCCTTGTCCACCAGTTGTTGAAGTATTGATTCGACGACCGGATACTAAATATCAAGTAAAAATTTTGAATAATCATTTCAAACTTTCCATAAAAAATGTTTATTATACTTTTTCTAGCTTGGTTTTAGTGTACAAAATGGCATTGTAAGATAATTTTTCATTTATATTAAATATAAATAATCGAATTTGTTTTTGTTTTAGATCTGTAGTTTACTTCGTGGTGGTATTGCTGAACGAGGTGGTGTACGTGTTGGTCATCGAATCATAGAAATTAATGGACAAAGTGTTGTAGCTACGCCACATGAAAGAATAGTTAGTATGTTATCAAATTCAGTTGGTGAAGTATGTTAATTTATATTTCTATATTTTATTTTAAATCTTTATAATTAATTTAATTTTATGTTTTAGCTTCGAATGAAAACAATGCCAACTCAAATGTATCGTCTATTGACTGGACAAGAAAATCCGATATATATATAAAAAAAAAAGTCTTTCTTGTTGTTTATCGTTTTTTTTTTCTTTTTATCGAAAAATAATACTGTTGCCATCATCATCTTTAGTATTCGATCTCAAATCAGTTCATTGTTGTTCTTCAACTCGAAGAGTATATATGTGATATTGATTCTGTTCTCTCTATCACACACAAATATATATATATATAAATATAAATAGATGTAAGCAGAGTAATATTATTCAATATCGTATGCGTTAATTAATAATACTTTTGTTTGTATATAGATTGTTTCGTTTTTTTTTCTTTTTTTTTAAACTTCTGTCGAGCAACGAAATGTGTGAACAGTGTTTGGTGTATTTATTATTCTTATTTACTGAAGTCTACTTTTCCAACAACTCAAATGGATTATGATTGCGTCGTTCGTTCGTTTTTTTTTTATATAAATCTCTAGAACCTCACATACTCATGTTCGGCCTTCATTCTTTTTTTTGAATTGTATACCTCTTCTTTTTCGCTACTCCTCGTTTTTTTTTTTTGTTATATATATATATAGTCAGAATGATGCTGATGATAAAAAGAAAGAATATAAGAGGAAAAGAAATGTTTTATTGTTGTATTAATACACAATGCATTTGTGACCAAAAGCAAAAAAAAATTCTTTTTTTTCTCTTAAGACTATGGACATAGATTATGACGAGTATTATAAAATAGATTGATAAGAAATAGGATGTTTCGTTTCATTCAATGAATTGATTAGTTAGAGATTGAATTGCTTCGGTATAGGTAGGATTTTTTTTGTGTTATTCTTAATACTTATGAAGGACGCTGTTTTTGGTATTCGATAGAAGGTCATCTTATCAAATATTTTTTTAAGGATAAATAAGAGGGACAACTAGCTTTTCGACTTACGAAAGAATTTACTAACCTAAAAAAAGAAGAAGATTTCTTAGTGTTTGTATACGCATTTAGAAATCTACAGAGAAAATCATAGTATGAATGAATAAAAAGCATGCACTTTTAAATGACGATTTCTACTCAATATGATACAACTATTTGTTAAACCTACAGATTTGAACATATATTGTAAGAGATTAGACAGATTAAGAAAAAAGCTAAAATGAACATAAATACAGCTATCATTTGCTATTAAGTCTTAGAAATGCAAAATAAGTACTTTTTCATGAACGAAGAATGTAACCACAGTGCATTAGATTATTTTTATTCTTATAACTAATATTAACAGCAAAACAAAAGAAAATGATATTAGCATACAACCAAAAAAAAATAGAATAAAAATCTGACTGAAAATTTAATACAATGGAAGTCTAACTACTATTTCCATATTAAATTTAAACTGTATCAGTTCGATGATTAACATCATTATCGTTCTTTTTACTAGTAGTTGATGGTATAAATTGCAGTGGTTTAGGATTAATTGCGATGAATGATGATGATGCATTATCTACTTGTTCAAATGTATTTAATACATCAACTAATGATTCAATAGCTGGTTTTAGTTCAAGTGTTTCTCGAAATAATGCTTCTTTTCGTTCATAAACATATAGTCGTCGAGTTCTATCATCCAGTAATGCCTGTAATTGTTGACAATGTTGTTCAAGTAATTGATTTGATTTAGATATTTTTTTATATTCAAGATCTTTTCGATGTAATTCTTCTTTTTGTTCATTAATTGTTTGTTCTAATTCTTGATTACGTGCATATAACATTTGTAAATGATTATTTGCTTCACGTATTGTTGTACGTGTTAATCTATTTGATATCGATGAATTATCGTCTGTAGTTGTTGTACGTCGAATCGTTCCTTCAGCCATCTTTTCATTACTTATCTGCAATCAAAATAACAATAAAAGTCTAGAGAATAAATGATTGAATAAAATGATCAAATAATTTTGACTTTGAAGTTAAACGATAGAAATATAAATTCGAACATTTAGTGTTGATTTATGTCTATTATATTTGATAACGTTCTTTTCATGAACAATCAATACGAGTTCGAACATTCTCATAATTAATCGGTTTACAGGCTTCAATACTTTTTCTATAGGTTTATTTACCAATATTATTTCTATGCATTGCTGGTGGCGCCAATGTAAATAGAAATCATTTCGGAAATGTCTGATTTAGTAAGCATGAAGATATCTTTCAGTAACCAAATACATAGAAAAATCGATTATTCTCTGGTTTTGAGAAGTAATGAGTATGTTTTTCTATTTTAATTCGTTCAATTATTAGCAAATAAAAATCTTGAAAAACCGTTATGTGTCAAACCGAGCGAACGAAAAAAAAAACTAAAAAAAAACACTCAATCAATTGATCAATCAATCAATAAAACTCTTTAAAATCAAATCAGATGTGTGATACCTTACTCGTATTTCATTTCATGTAGAAACGAACACTGATGACTTAGCATCATTCAAAAAAATAACTTACTCAATTTTCACTGAATATAGTGATGTAAGCATTCATTTGACTGGTTTCATCACATGCTTTTTAATTACAAATCCTTAATGTTTTTTTTACTCTTCATTCCAAAATATGTGAGTTAGATATGCTCATATTTTGTGTCTGATTGTTTTAACAAATGACACTTAAAGCTCAATATGGATATAGATATATAAATATGTGTGACCTCCCTATGTGAATCACTTTTTTCTCTTTCTATTATTTTGTAAAATTTACAAATGAGCATCACCGATACTTGTCAAGAGTGTTGAATATGAGCTGGTTTCTTATACATAGAACTATATGTAATGGAAGTAAAAATGGCGAAAAAAAAAAACTACCATTCAGTATCAACTTCACTGATCCCATCTGTTTGCATACATACATATAAAAATAAATGCATATATACTCATACATATATACAGTGCCCTGCGGTTGGTTTTGTTCATTTAAGAGAATCTATTCAAGGTAATGACCTTCTTATGCATAGTAAAAAACTTTATTGAGAAGCTCTTTTTTGAAAATTTGTTCTTTAATCATTTCCTTATTGTACTATATAGTCAAGTCATTATTTAAATGAGGTTTCTCCTCTTCAATGAATTCTATGAATCCATATATACACATATGTATGATTTGTCTTTCATTTTCTGTTTTTTTTTTACTGACGTTACTATTATCATTGATGGCGTATCAATATGTCAGTCATCATTATATTTATCAATCATTTTCAGGAATATATATAACAGGTGAATCTTTTTTCTTTTCACGTTTTTTTTTATGTCTCTATTTCTTTCTCCTATGCTTCTCTTTTTTTGACATCGGATCTGATCGATTTTCTTCGCTTGTCGCCCTATTCATTCGTTCTTTCTCGCGAGTTTTTTTTTTTTCATTCAACAATATAAAAATGTACATGCACGAATTCATTGACAGATGATGTTCTCTATTGGTTTCTTTTTTTTTCTGTTTTACATAGGCAATGAATAATATGTGATATGAATAGATAATCATGATTTGAACTAAAACAATCAAAATGATGAAAACAACAAGTCTTACAAAAACACTTTTCAATCATCAAACTCATTCACAATCAATTAATTTATTTACACCATCAACAAGTTCATCGTCAGGATCAACATGTGAAACAGGTCCATCATCATTAAATTCTTCTTATAAAAGTAATATTGATACAAATGGTATTAATAATAATGATGATACAAATTCTATTCCACAAGATAAATCAACTGTAGTACTGATAAATTTAGTTGATAAACTTAAACGTGAATTAACAACAGTAAAACAAGCAAAAAGTCAATTAGAAACACTTTATAAAGTAAGTCTCATAGAAATACAAAACAAATACAAACGATTAGTTTGCTTCTTTTTTTTAATCATTTTTTCCACAAACGAACCTTAGCAATCAATCAGTATAGATACATATATTTACTTTTTTTTCATTTATTCTATACCTTTCTCCTAATATTTATATACAAATATTACTTACATTTAAATATTCAAAAATGATTTAATTAATCGAATCGCTTAGTAATTTTTGATATACATTTTTGTTCGATTTAAATAGATGTGTCGATAGAAAATGAATAGAAAATTACTGCTATTACGTTTTGTTTTTATCGATGATTTGTTTGCTTTAGGTCAAATGTAAATCTGACCTTGATAAATCAGCTAAAATTACGAAACTTCGTCTACAATATGAACATGAATTGAATCTATTTTGTAAACAAGATCAAAAAGATCTTGTATGTTATTTACAACGACAATTGATGGTACGTGATCAACGTATTTCTGAACAATCGCATGATATAGAACAAATGAAAAATTTGTCAATAAATAATAGTGTTGATAGTAGTAATGCAAATACATATAAAAAAATTGCTCCAATACAAGTTTTAAGAAGCAGTGATCCTGATGTTGTTATTTCAGCCGTAAGTCAAATAAAGATTTCTTTTTTTCTTTTTGCGCATTCTGCTTTTTATTCGTTACTGTCTATGTGTATTACTTTGTGATATCTTCGTTTTTTTATTGAGTCATAGATGATTCATTCAAGACATCGACCTTGATTTGACGCCATTCCTTTTTCTTTATCCCTCCATACCCCGTTTTGTTTTTTTTTTTTTTTTGTTCTTCTCTTTCATTCTTAGTTCGATAAGTATACGCATTTGCGCAGAATAGACATTTATTTGCTATTTTATCCATAAATCAGTACTGAATTCAAAAATTACTTTCAAATAATGGCTGGTGATGAAACAAAACAGAGTAGTGGAAAATCAGCTGACAAAGAAAACAAAGCCAGTAAAAATGATACGAATAGTGGTGATAAAGGTAGTTCAAAAAATGATGCACAAAGTGGTGGTGGTAATAAATCTGGTGGTGGAAAGGCAGATAATTCAGGTAGTGGTGATAAAGGCAGTTCAAAGAATGATGGACAAAGTGGCGGTGGTAACAAATCTGGTGGTGGAAAAGCAGATAATTCAGGTGGTGGTGATAAAGGTAGCTCAAAAAATGATGCACAAGGTGGAAATGACAATAAACCTGGTACTGTAAAAGGAGATGCACCAGGTGGTAGTAATAAAAGTGGTCAGAAAGATAGCGCTTCAGGTGGTGGTAAAAACGATGATAAAGGTGGTTCAAAAGCTGAAGCATCTGGTGGTGGTGGTGGCGGTGATGCAAAATCAGGTGGCGGTAAAGGTGGTGATAAAGGTGGTTCGAAAGCTGAAGCCTCTGGTGGTGGTGGTGGCGGTGATGCAAAATCAGGTGGCGGTAAAGGTGGTTCAAAAGCTGAAGCATCTGGTGGTGGTGAATGGGAAGGTGGTGATCCAGAAAAAGGTGCAAAAATTTTCAAAACAAAATGTGCTCAATGTCATACTGCCGAAAAAGGCGGTGGTAATAAACAAGGACCTAATCTTCATAGTTTATTCGGTCGACAAACTGGTCAAGTTCAAGGTTTTAATTATAGTGATGCTAATAAAAGTAAAAATATAACATGGGGTGGTGATACACTATGGACTTATTTGAAAGATCCAAAGAAATATATTCCAGGAACAAAAATGATTTTTGCTGGACTTAAAAAAGATGATGAACGAAAAGATTTAATTGCATATTTAAAACAACAATCGAGTGATTAAACAAAATACATATCGTACAAACTTTTTCTCTTATTCTTGCATATTTACTCATCTATTTTCTTCACTTGAACTACAATGTGAATTTTGTATGTGTTTTTTTTTTGACATTTATTCTAGCTTCTTATATGTATATCTACTTTTTTTTTTATCTGTCAGAATGATCTTGTTTCTATAGAGTTGAGATGAAAATGTGTATACACTTGCTTTCAGGGAGGAAAAAAGCTCATTCTGCAATAAACAAAACGAAGATTAACAAAAAAAATTCTAATTTTTTTTCTCATGACAATGTAGTATTTTACCAAAACTCGTACTACATATATTTAGTGAATATAAAATTAATAGCTCATTTTCTATTTGTTTACTCTATCAACTGACTATTTCAAACATATTTTTCTTCTTTTTGAGTTATTTCCTTTTTTTTCTGTTCAATGGAAAGAAGCGAAATTCGAGTGATTGCTATCGACGTGTTATGGAGCAACGAAGAACTGACTGCTTAGGGATTTCTTCTGTTTTATATATATACTTGTTAATTCAATTTTCGAAGTTAATCATACTTTATTATTCTTATTTTCTGTTGTTCTTATAAAATTAGAATCAACATGTGTATGATGAACAAGAACAGACATTACAACGACAGAATATTGAATTACATGATCGTATAAAACGATTCGAACGACAATTAGAAGTACTAAAACAAGATCAACCAGTAATAATCAAAACAAAAGATTTGATCGTATCAGAATTATTAATATTTTCTTTTTCATATTTAGAAAGATCATGATAAAGAATTAATTAAAAGAGCTTTAGCTAAACAAGCAAGCAAAGATGCTATTGAATATCAAAAATTATTAAAACAAAAAAATCAAGAAATCGAACAATTAAATATTCAACTTGAACAATTGCCAAAAGTAAAAGAAAAAAAATCCCAATCCAATTAATAGAAAATTATATTATTTTTTTTATTTCATAGTTCAATGTTTTTGAATTAGCTCTACGTCAAGCAAATATTGAAAAATTATATCTTGAACGACGTCTTTTAGTTTCAACAACCTCATCATCACCATCCTCATCCTCATCAACGTCATCATTATTGCTGAAGTTGAGAACAAATGCGCCCGTAAGTCATCAAGTATCATATTTAAAAAAATAACGGAAACTGTTCTTTTTTTTTTTCTACATTATTGGTTGTCTCTGAGGTAGAAAGATATCTTCTTCCTTATCATCATCGTTCGATTCATTTCCGTGATAGAAAAAGTAGAAGAAACAAAAATGTCTTTTTTTAATGTATATATTCAAAAGAAAAATTTCTTTCTTCATCGAATCAATTCCATATTTTTCTTTCTCTTTGTTAGTTCCTCTAGTTTTCTTTTTCTTGCCTTTTCTTTATTCTGATTATCTTCATCGTATTGGAAGAAAGACATGTGAGAAAGAGAGAAAAAAAAAGTGCAAATAGAAAGACATCTTTATCAACATGCGTTCACACGAGCGTTGGGGTTTTGTCGATGAACATTCTTTTTTTTCTGACTATTTCTGTCGCTCATTTTCTGTTCTGTTTTCTTTTCCGTTTTTTCCGTCTTTTCATTTTCTCTAGCCGTTAGGAGAGAAAAAACGAGAACATTTTTTTTTTTTATATCACATCACTACCGTTTGTAGAAGACTCTTCTCTTTCCCATAGATAATCATATTAGTTATTTACGCTCGCGTGTATGTGTGTGTGCGCATGTATGTAGCAGTCTCAAATTTAGACGAACGGCGAGACTATAGAAAACGATAGGAAACATAAAGCACAGATTGATTCGTTTGACCGTAATAATAAAAAAAAACAATAATTATTATGACGAGTTCATCATCACCTCGTTTTACCGGTTTTATTCGTGATGTTCGAACGTCAAAACAAAATTTACAACATACCTTATCACAGGTTAGATAATAGATGAAGAGATTTTTCTCATTTTAATTTTTTCCTGTTCATGCATCATTTCCTTTCTTTTTTTTCTTTCTTTTAGCCTTCGACTGCTCATAATACTTCAAATATTAATGAACAACAACCTTATACGGTACCAACGAATACTCGTTCAAGAACAGATTCTTCAACAACACAATCTATTGATCCCTTTCTTTATCAAGCACTACAAGACACGAATGAAGCATTAAGAAGTGAAGTGCAACGTCTGACACGCTCTGATGAAGATAATGTTGAAAAACTTAAATTACAGGTTTTTAGAATCTCATTTATATTATTTTGCTTTTTTCCTTGATTATGACAAAAATGCATTCTTTCTCTATTAATTCAGAACAATCTCGACAAGTTTATCTAAGCTATTTCTTTTTGTTCTTTGTCTTATTCTTATAAATCTGTTTTTCATTAACTAAAAGAGACAAATGACAAACAAATCCACAAAAAACAAAAATCCATTTTCTAATATCTTTTAGCTTCAAAAATATGCTGATCTTAATGAAGTATATAAACAACTTCAAGATAAATATACAAATCTAATTGATGTTGAAGAACATTTTAATGAATTACAAACAATATATAAAAATCAAAAATCATCAAATGAATATTGTTTACGTGAAAATGAACAATTAAAAAATCAAAATGAACATTTATTAAATGAATTAGCACGTTTAACACAAGTTGAAACACGTGATCGTACACGTTCAATTGAACAAGCTGATTTACGTCGTCAATATGATGAATTATTAGTACAATATAATGAATTAAAAATAAATTATAATGAATTAAAAGAAAAATATCAAGGAAATCAAATTAGTTATGAAAATGATATAAAACATCTTAATGATGAAAATTTAAAAATTCGTTTAGAAAATGAACAATTACATGCTGCTAATGATTTATTACGTGATGAAAGACATCAAATGAATGAATTACATGAAACAATATTAAAAAAACGTTTAGATGAAATAAAATATCTTCAAATTGAAAATCGTGATTTACAAGCAATAAGACAAATATATAATGAAGAACGAGAAACATTTCAAGCAACAGATTTAAGAAAAACACAATTAGAAAATGATCTTTTAACAATGCATGCTGTTGAAGATCGTTGTCAAGATTTACAAACAACTGTTGAACGATTGGAATCGGAAGTTCAACTTAGTGTAAGTCCTTTGTACATTATAAGTACATATCATATAGAAAAGAGAAAAAAAAAAGTATTGAAGAAATGAAAGATAAAGGGTGAGATGAACAAGAGAAAAAAAATAAGGATCATGTTTCCGGAACTGATAGAGCAAGCTTGCTTGTCCGCTTTATATTCAATGTCAGCGAAGCGGAGTAGACCGACCTATTCACAATCGCATGATGAGGAAAACCATCCTCTTTTTCCTTTTTTTTTATTCTATTCTATGCTTTTTTTTTCTTTCTTCTAACGTCAATAGCAGAAAAAATTGGACGATCATGCAATGGCACTAACAAATCTGAATAAGGAAAATGCTCGCCTTGTAAGTACTTGAACTACACTATTCATCTTTTTTTCTTTCTCGTCTTACTTTGTCTCTCTCTCTCTCTCTCTTGTTTCTATTCTCGCGATACATTTTTTTTTACCCTCTAGATCAAAGAGCTCGAGAGTGCCTCAATGCTAAACACGCAAATGCGCGCTGAAATTAGCAATGCAACAAATACTAATGAACGGGTTAGTAATGACTGTGTGCATTAACACAACATAGAAGTTCGAGCAAGAAAAAAAAAATAATAATAAATATTTAAATAAATAATGAAAATCATGAAATATCATTTTGCCATTTTTTTTTCTAACAATTGAATAGTTAACACAAGATTGTGATCGATATCGAACAAATTTACTAACAAAATGTGAAGAATATGAAAGAAAACGACGTGAAAATGAAGAATTAATAAATAAAATTCATGAATTAGAATCAACAATTAAATCTCTTCATGATACAAATGATTTTCATAAACAATTAAATGTTGAAAATGAAGTTAATAAATTAGAATTAAAAAGAAAACAAGATGATTTTGAACAATTTCAAAAAGTTAGCTATATAAAACGAAACAATTCTTATTATTATTTTATATTTATATGTTTCTAGATGCATGATGCAACAAAACAAGAAAATCAAGAAACAATACATTTACTTGAAGTATAATTTTATTTCTTTTGTATTTAATTAAATTTTCATAACAAAAAAAAACACTATTCATTTTAAGGAAAAAATTCATGATCTTGAACGTAAAACGGAATTACAATCATTAAAACATGAAGAAATTCTTTTAGAATTTGAATCATTAAAAGCAAGACGTGATCGAATATTACCATCATCAACTGGTACAATACTTTCACATAATCATCCAAATACATTTCTATTAACACATCATTGGCCAACACCAACAATGGTTGATTCTCAAACATCACCAACTGATGATAGTCATCCTCCTCAACCATCACCAGCCGTTCAACAACGACCATTATTAAAATCAACTGGTAGTCAATCTGTATCAATTAATGAAAATCAAGAAATTAAACCAAAATCTTATATAAATAATCAAACAGCTCAAATAGTTATAGCAAAATATTCTTATGAACCATTACAATGTTCTCCAAATGATCATCCTGAAGTTGAATTACCATTAAATGTTGGAGAATATTATCTTATTTATGGTGATGTTGATGAAGTAAATCAATACATTTGAATTAAAAACAAAAAAAAAAAATAATGTTTTATTTTATTTTTGCTAATAAAATTTTAGGATGGATTTTTTGATGGAAGAAATTTAGAAGGTCGTTATGGTTTAATACCATCAAATTTTATTGAAAAAGTAACAAATCTAAATGATTTACCTGAAACAGTTCGACATATAATTCAACGATTAACTGGAAAAGTATTTTCTGGTAAAGACAAAACAAAACAAAAAAAAAACACAATACTAAAAATTTTTTTTGACTATTTTTGCTAGAAGAAACAATGACACCTCGTCGTGAACTAACTACAAGTATTGATTCTGATGTATTTACTCCAAACACATTGACCAATACTCCAACAATGTATCGAAAACAAGGTATAAAAAACAACAAATGAAAAAAATTTAATTTCATATTCAAATCATTATTTATATTAGTAGCATCAACACAAAACGGAACTTCATCGGACATGTCAACAACTAATGGTCTTACATTTGGTAAACATGGTAAATATATTTTTAAGCTATAAAAAAAAATAAAAACTAAAAGTCTTGTTTTGTTTTTAGTTCCTTGTCCTACAAATCTTCGTGTTGAAAAATATCTAACAAATAGTATATTAATTGCATGGAATCCTCCATTAATAACAATACAAATTCTTGGTTATCAAATATTACTTGATCATTCATTATATACAACAATACGTGCTAATGAACGTACACGTGCATTAATTGAAAATATAAATTTAAATGAAAAAATTCATCGTATAAGTATACGTACAATAAGTCAACATGGTTTATCGCGTGATCAAGAATGTACATTATTGTTAACAATGTCAGCTGCAAATGGAAATTTAAATGATTTATCATATGCCCCAAGTGATTTACGTGTTGATAGAATAAATCAAACATCGGCTGTTGTTTCATGGTGGCCAACATCAAATGATATTGTACATAAATTATATGTTAATGATATTGAAGTTCAAACACTTAAAGCTGGTGTTTATCGTTTTAAATTATCGGGTTTATTACCAAATACAGTACATAAAGTAACCATTAAAGCTAAACCAAATAATATAATAAATACACAACAACCATTAGCATCTTCCATTGAATTTCGTACAACATCATTTGGTAAATTTTGTTTTTTTTTCTATGATAAAATTTTATTGTATATTTATGTCTTTTTCTTTATTCTAGATGAATCAATTGAACCACCTAAACGTGTACAAGCTATAGCTGGTCCACAATCGAATACTTTACTTGTATCATGGGAACAACCATTATTAACAACAACAACAGCTCGAGGTTATCGAGTTCTTGTCGATGGACGACAAATACAAGATATAATTAATCCATTAAGTATGAAAATCGAAATAAATTAATTTTAAATTAATATCTTTTTCTGTTTCATCGATAGATGATCATACTGTAATCAATATGAATTCATTACATCAAGGTAGATTTTTAACAGTTCGTACATTAACTGAAAATGATGGTGAATCACATGATTCAATTCCAATAGATCTTGATGAAATATTAAAAAAAGTAGACAATTATTCATATATATTTATTTTAATAATTAAGTTTTTTTTTTTTTGATTAGTTGGATACGGATGTTCCACCGACAACAACATTTCTTCCTTCAGAAGAAACATTTGATAAAGAATCTATGCCATTGACTGCATCTTCTTCATTAACATTAAGAACAACATCGGATGATGAACTAAACAATCCTGAACAACAAGTATTTCCAACTCCATCAGCTGTTATCGAAACTCAACAAAAGGTTTTTAAATACGTTTTTGCTTTTGCCCTTATTTACAGTCGTCGTTAAAATTATTCAGCAGGGCGTAAATTCGATCTTTCTTGTTGATTTCGCAATAGGCGCTAATAATATGAATAGAGAAAATAAAAGTCTTGGGCATATTTTCAAAATCCAGGATTTCTAAAAAGCATAAAAGCCTAGATTTTCTTTACCTGACGTGTGATAATTAAAGTTTCTTTTGAGAATGTAGAGCGATAGAGCAGAATATTTTCAACAAGGTGATTTGTCCTCGAGCTTTTCATGACATTTTGTAGCTGCATTATATCAAATTTACAGAAGACATGAAAGATGTTCTTTTTTATGTGTTTCATTAGAAATAGCTAAAAAAAATGTCTTTTGAGTTCTCCATAAATTTGGTAGAGTTTCGCCAAAAACTAGTGTAGAAAGCTCGGGACGTCTCAGCTTGCTAACAATTTTCTACTTCATTGACCTCTATTGTTATTGGACTCTGGACAAGAGCAAGAAAAAATTGAATTTATATCTAGTCGAATAATTTTGACGGATATTGTTTATTTACATATGTATATATTTATCAAATTTTATTTAGTCATCTTCTCGTCCACAAGAAATATCTTCTCCATCTACAGCTTCAATTTCATCCATAAAACAATCATCTACAAATATTTCACAAATACCATCAAATATTCTACCATCAACACCACCACAAATAAAATCTACAACAACAAATCCTGATAAAATTCGTCCAATATCAAAAACTTCTGCACGACCAATTGGAATACCACCAATACAAGCTCCATTAAAATCTTCATCAACAACATCATCAGTTAGTACTGATGTACCACAAATTGAAATTAATGCTCCAAGTCCAAATAGTCCTATAACAACAGCAACAGCAACAACAACAACAACAACAACAACAACAGCGAAATCAAAAACTGATAATCGTGATCATTATGACCAACCACAACAGCGTTTTGGTTATGATAGTTATATAAAACAATCTGATGAATCTACATCACATATTAAATCTAGTAATACTCAAAGAAAAACATCAAAAACATCAACAACTATGTCACCGATAAAACAACGTGATCATTCCGATTCAAGACGAACAACAACAACAACAACAACAGCTACGCCAATGAATGGTAATCCAAATATAAATAAAACAAAAATTTCATCACCACGTCATGCATCAACATCATCAGAAGAACAACATGTTACAGCACCAACACCAATGAAAACTGTTAAATTAAAAGAACAAATCCCAACACAATCAGTTTCATCAATCAATAGTCATTTATATAATAAAACAAATAATCCACCACGTTTATTTATTGCTTTATTTGATTATGATCCAAATGCTATGTCGCCTAATAAAGATAATGAAGAAGAATTGCCATTCAAAGAAGGACAATTAATTCGAGTTTGATTTGATTTTCTTTTTTTCTATATATATATATTTTTTCCACTTATCATTATTTATTATTTCTATTTAGATTTATGGTGATCAAGATGCTGATGGTTTTTATGTAGGTCAAACAGAAAATGGTCGTACAGGTTATGTTCCCAGTAACATGGTATCAGAAATTCAACTTGACGATGCTGAAATTGAGGCACATTTACTCGCAGGTACAATAAATCTAGAAAATCCCAATCGTGTGACACGTAAGTCTCGATATGCTATTCTTCTTACCTATAAATTATTTTTAACAGCAGCAACACCAACACCAACAACACCAACAACAACAACAACAACAAAACGAATATCACCTGGAACAAATTCATCAAATATAAAATCATCAACACAATCAGTCAAAAAAATGATTGCTATGTTTGATTATAATCCAAATGAAAATTCTCCAAATCTTAATCCTGATGAAGAATTATCATTTCGTTCGGGTGATATTATTTATGTACATGGAACTGTACATGATGATGGATTTTATTTTGGTGAATTAGAAAATGGATCAAAAGGTCTTGTACCATCAAATTTTCTTAAAGAAGTATCATCAATCACTACAGATGAAAATACTATTCAACAAGATAATGAACAAATAATTACAAATGAAAATAAAGTAAAGAGAAAAAAAGAAAAGACATTTTTATTATAATTATACTAATGAGTCTTATTATTTTATTTTAGAAAACATCTTACCGTCGGTAGGATTATCGCTATCATATATTTATTTAAAGGCCTTAGTTTTTTTTTTTGTTTTTTGTATTTTTTGTTTTCAGCAGTCCTCATCAAGTGTAAATGAAAAATAATATCAAGAAATAGTTAATATTTTTCTTAATAAATCAATAGAAGATTACCTAGCTAAAAATAAGTTTGTATTTGGAATTTTTAATAAGTTATTGAAAAAGTGAAACAAATCATCTTATTATTTGAAGAAAGAAAAATACTCAGGTTTTGTTTGTTTGTTTTTTTTTGGAACAGTAAATGAAAAACAAACAGTATGTATGTATGTGTGTATTGTTCCGGTAGTGTATACCTTTTCATCTTTCTATTATGTTCGTCTAACATTTCTTTTTTTTGTATATAATCTATCCGATGATTTAACTTTGTTTTTTTTTTCTTCAATCGTTATATTCTAATTTTGTTGTTTTAATTTTATTTTAAAGAAAAGAATTATCATGGCAAGGAACATTTTGTACAGTTTTTTGTTTTTGATTCTAAGACGAAAAAAAAAGATCTTTATTTTGTGTTGTGAGATGGTTTTACATTAGTTAAATGAGGATCATAACTTTGAACTATATTTTGAAATAATGTTGGAAAACGTTCAGGTAATAAGAGTCGTTCAACATAAGATGGTGCATTATAACGGAGTGGCACTTCAGGAAATGTAACAAGAACATAACGACTGAAATCAATCGAGAATAGAATTTACTTATTTTTGTTATCTTATGTTATAAAAAAAAAAAACTTATAATAAACCTGCATCTTGATGGAATTGATACAACACGTTGTCCACCAATATAAACAGGTAATTCAGGCATATCAGGATCAATTGATAAAGGACTACATATTGATGGAGAACTATAAAATAAGATAAAATAAATTTTTCAGTAAACTAACTATTTTTTAGAAACATCCCTAATAGGATTACATTCGTTTAAAGAATTGTTTTATGCTTCATCAGTTTTAAGCAGCGAATTATTAATATAAAAAAAAAACAATCAAATTTTTTGCATATATCCCTTATGACAGCTTTTTTAAACACATATGTATGTAAGAAAGATCTGATTAAATATTAATTTTTCTAGATTAAACTCTTCATTAGACAAACCGAGGTTTTGTAGTTGATTGTGATAACGATGAAAATGTTGTCATTGTTGTATCTAAATTAGTTCGTTGTCTAGCACGTGATAGTTTTGTTGGTGATCGTTGTCGAACAATAACTGATGAACCAGTTACAATAGCTGATCGATTTGATTTTTGTGGTTGTGATGAAGCCATTGTTGAAAGTGATGCATTTGATTGAACAGTCGGATCTTTTCGACTATTTGTATTCGTTACTAAAAGTGGTGGTGGTGGTGGTATTGTTAATAATGATGATTTTGATGATATTGGACGTTGATTTATTTTTGATTTAATTCTTTTTTTAATCATACTTTCATGAAGTTCATTAGGAATATCTCCAAGAAAAGTAACACTTTTAACAAGTGATGATTCACATAAATCTTCTTGTTGAGTTGATGAAAATGTTTCTGCTGGATATGGAACTATTGGTATTGCTTTTGGTGTAGAAAGACTAAGATTTGATGAAGGTATTGAAGGATTAATAATCGTATTATTATCAGTTCGAATATGTACTGATCGTTTTGTTGATGATTGTTTTGCTGTTGTTGTTGTTGTTGTTTCATTATTATTGGTTGGCTGTTGTTGTTCATTACCTTTTTTTTGTTATAAAATGTTAAAAAATAAATTAATTTCATATAGACATACATACAATCCAAATCTAGTGGACTCCATTGTTCACGACTAACAAAATGTTTATCATTGAAAGCATTTGCTGAATTAGTTACATTATCTTGTGATAATGACGATGTTTGTCCTGTTGAAATACGTGTTCCTAAAATAAAATGAAATATTTCTTTTTTTTTGTTTTTTAAATATTCTATTAATTCACCAGTAACAATTTGTCGTTGAAATGTATCAAATTTAATATCATTTGAATAATATAATTTAAATAATTCTTCAACATCATGTTTAGATTTTTCCATACGTTGTGAAAAATTTTTTTTATGATTTGCTGATTGTCGAAATAATTTTCTTCGTAAAATTACTAATGGTGTTGTTTGATTAGTAAAATTTGTTGATTTTGATATAACTGACATTGATGTTGACCAACGTGATGTTGGCCGACTTGGATCAGACATTGTCGTAAAAGAAAATGACAAAGCTGATCAACTATAATGTTGATCAAGCAAGAAGTAAAAAAGAAAAACACTCGACTATGTACTTAATACTATTTTCATTTCATTCAGATTTTCTCTCTTTACATACACACTCTCACATCTATTCGATCGACTATTTTGATTTTATAGTTAACGATGGTTATAAAAATTGATTTTTTCTTCAATATCTGATGAATAGATAAACATACGATGTTCTTCTAGTGGATCATAATCAATCGTCAAAGGTAATCATTTGTCAACAATACACATACAGTAGATTTGGCTTCCTAGTTTCAATACAGAATGAAGAAACAAAACTTGCTCATTGACGAACAACATAAAAAGAGAAGAAGAAGAAAGAAAAAAAGAAAAATTGATTTTTTGCTTTATGTCGATTTGCCATGTTTTGTTTACACAGTAGGCAGAGCAATGCCACCGCTATAGGAGTTCTTTCTACTTTTCTTCTTTTTTTGCTTTCTTTCAAATTGCATCAAGTAATTTGACCGCTTGAAATATTGATGATGATGATGATGGCAGTAGTATGGAATATTGTACACCAATCAGTAAAATCAAACGCACACATGCAAAACAAAGTACAAAAAAAAGGGCAACAATCATTATTGATTAAATAACAAAGAAAAAAAGTCGCATTTTTTTCAAGTATGAAATTTTTTCAAAAACAAAAATTTTTCTTTTTCCTTTTTTTATGTGAAACTAGAATAAGATTTACATATTTCACAAAAAAAAAAAAGATAAGTAATTTACAATTTAATACTTTTCATCCATTATTTTTGTAGGAAAATCAATCATTATTGTTTTTTCTACAATCCTAAAAAGAAAAGTATTGAAATTCTGATTGTATTAATTAAAAATATATCATTTTCCATCATGTTTGTCATGTGATTAGGTTTCCTCTTATATTAAATTTATTAAAGCAGACAGACTTAATAAGACTAATTGATAGTACAAATTAAATGAGATTCTTTTGTTTCTATTTTAAATCTAATATTACAAGGATGATCAAAATTCAAGTAGACGTTATCAAATAATCATATTATTCTAAGATGTCGGTAATTCGAAATTGATTTTTAATGTTTGTTTGTTGCAATTAATAGAGTTCATTGAGTTAAATATAAAAACGTTGTTTTTCACATATTCCAACGATGTTTTTTGTAGTGAAAAGTTAAGTTAAAAAATTAGAAAAAAATTGGAATACGTCTACAATATAAAATGTCAATAGTTTTAATACTTATCTGAGTTTTGTTTTTGATTCTACTCGTTATATAGTTCAGAAGAAAAAAAAAATAATGCATGCTTTTTGAAAAATATTGTTTGATTGTAGTGCAAATTCATTTTTTTTAATATGATATCGAAAATCTCTAAGTACGAATTTGTATTCAAAAATTTTGACTACCACACAGTCAGTTCTAAAATAAACGAATATCATATTAAGAATTAATGCAAAAATCTGCATCGAATAATATATTTAATACTCAAAAATAATCTGTCGGTATACTCTCACTTGTGCTTTCTCAAAGTATAAAATCAGTAAATAACAATACTAAATTTGCTGATATGTGAAGAATTGAAAATGTGTGGGATATATCGAATGAGAAAGTTCGTAGAAAAGAGTGTCTGATAGATAATACTGTATCAATTACAATTGATCATACAGAGCATGTTCATACACACTGAGTTTTATTATAATTTATTCTCTTTTTTTATAAAAACTTGTCTTGTAAAATTTTTTTTCATAAGATGTTTACAAGTATTGCTAGTTAAGAAACCAAGTTGTCACAAAAAAAATCAAGTACGACAATGTATGTATGTTAATCTTGTTCATAAATATCAATACTGACTTTAGTTAAAGAGCTTAAACTTTGAATCATTCAAGAACTTGATGAGAAATGTAGAGTGGTCGAAAAGTCATTTTATCCAAGAAAAAGTTCAATACCTCCGCCATATTTAAAATAAATGAGCTAATTCTTTTACGACTAATATGTGTTCATAGGTCATATTTGTTAGAGAAACATTGATAAATACTGTTTTGAAATATTGTCGTTGACTTCATTAAAAGAACGGTAACATTTTATGATTTATGAAACAGTTGCCTAACTTTTTCCATGGCAATAAAACTAAACTATATTTAGCTCTCTTTATTAATTCTTCGCACAAATATTACTTTGTCTGATATTTATATCACAGATATATTTTTTATTATTCATTGTATCCAGAAACTTTCAGCGATAGATTCCAATTTTAAGACACCGTATATAATAAAAATTTCAGTCTCTTGCGTCAAGAAAAAGTATGGTAGTTGATAATTTATGCTCAGTTATTATGAGACATCTTTTTATGGCAAATAAAATTGAATGCAAAGTTCGAAAAAATATTAAGGCTATTGAAACTTGTTGTTTTTGGCATAGTTGAATTTTTATAGTTTTTTTTTCTGTTTTGTTGTTAATTAATTTTCACTATAAAAACATCGTCTGTATATTTTCAAAACAACATTTTTATAGGTAACTCAATAAGATCTATTCAATCATAACAAAAAAAAAACATTTTCTCAAATTTCGAATTGTCGGCGTCTTATTTCTAAAGTAAAGTTTCATGTATACGAAAAAAAACAAGCAGATATTGATATGAATATTTCAATCAATTGCAAAAGAAAAAAAAACAATTTCGTTGATCATTTCATTTCTTTCTTTTTTTTTTTGTTAAACAAATAGCGTGTTAATCATAAGCATGCATAAATGAAATGTGTAATAACATAACTTTCTTTTGTAGATGATTTTTGTTAAATAGTAAAAAAAAACAAATAACGAAAACAAATAATAATAATAATAATAGAAACAA